TATTCCGCTACTGCAATTTGGCTCACCGCGGTGCAAATTTATATCCACAATATAGAGGAGGCTTTGCACTATCACTATAATGTCTGCATTTAAAAATCTATTTTGTCAAGAGAGGCGAGAAAAAACCTGGAAATTTTCAATGCGTGCCATTGCAACTATGTCTTTGAAATTAGTTTCAAATCTGTAGAATTGCAGCAGTCACTGAATTTGGAGTAATATCCTCTTCGCATGTTTTCTAGATGGGAATCTAATGCAACACGGATGACGAACTTGGTTTTGAAAGACACTGTGGCCGATTTTCTATTTTCATTTTCCGCAAATGTGTCCAAAACGCCACCATGAGATATATGTGCCTGCATTAAATCTCCGTGATTTCAACCATAAAACTCACAAATTTTTCTAATCATGATATGATGTAGCTGAAAGCTTGCTCTATCATAAAGCACATTTTCTAAGCGATAGGATTTATTTTCATGAAAAATTGGGAGAAAATTGATGATGACTGCCTGCGTGCCTCGGCAGTGGTAATCGCCAACTGTTTGAAGGCTTCGTTATCAAGGAAAGATGCTACCACGAAATTCGAATTCTGTGATGTATTTGCTACTTTTTGAATAATGTGTACACCAAATTTTATATCCCTATGTTGTTCCGTTCTGTTTTTATCAGAAAAATAGGCTACAAGACTTTTGGGACACCCTGTAGTGGCACTGCTGCAAAATCGGTATTCTGGCACACTTGCAGTTTCTTTTTGCCGGTCAGTCAGAATCAGCTGCTAAAATATTGAATGTGCATTTAGATAATCACATAATAGACACTGTAGCCAAATCTGAGCAAATTTCATCCCCAAAGCAATGTGTACAAAATGGTTTACAATTCTAGGTTTGTCGAAAAGAGGCCAAAGAAGATATGTAAAAGCTGAAATGCGCAGCGTAAATGACCATTTTTCTAGTCCGTCCTGTAGAATTTCTGTATCCTTTACAGCAAAGATAGCTGAGCTGGGCAGAGCAACTCTCCGAAGTAAACACTAAATGTCTTGTGAGCATGGTTTTGATACGAGCCTTAAACAATAATATTAAAGATTTATACAGTGATCTAATACACCGTGCTATGACTAGATCACGACTCTTCTTTAACTCCTGCGTATAACAACAGGATATCAAACTATAATAATGCAGAAAAAGCATAAACTATATCTGCGAGTGAAAAGAACTACTGAAACCTGCACTGCCAGCACATCATCAATATTTTATCGCCAAAGTACTTGGTATTACTAATGGTATAAAAGTAGCGCACATTCAGTGATAGAGCGTCTAGCATAATGAAACATAAAGCTGTCTAGTATAGCTAGCTAGTGAACACCAACAGGGTGGATCTCCCGCACCATATATTTGTGAGAAGAAGAACTGTTAAAACCTGTTAAACATGTATTAGGTCCATATCGAAATATCCCGTTTTTTTGTATTCTCAAAAATCGTAGCACCATTCTATCAAAAAGCTCTTTCAAAAAAAGGAAAAAGAAGATCAATCGCGGTCTGTTAATTCAAGTAGGCCTATTAACATTTGAAAACTATGCAACAAAACCTAGAACAGTTACCACATGAATTTTTGGCCTACCCTCCCCAACTGGGCAAAGCGCTGGTCCGACTCTTTTAAAAAAGTTACAATCTTGAGATAACAGCGCAAAACACGAAAATAAATTCTTTGGCATCTTCAAAACTCATAACTTTCCAGAACAGCTTTAGCAACAGGAACTATACTCAGTTAGGAAGAGTAGGTCACCAATGTGGTGGCGACGTATTGGGATTTGTTGCATAATTCTTAGATTTTAGACGGATCTGCTCCAAACCACGAGTGATCTCCTTCAGTGGTTTTTATCACCACAACCCGGGGTTTATAGAAGGAAAACAAGGTGCTTCCAAGAAGCGCATACTCTTTTATAAACATTAATGGCATGCAAATTCTGTGGAGAAAGAAGCTATGATTTGTTGAAAATAGTGCAACAAAATTTTCGATTTAATATAAATTTTCATTAATAAACCCCAAACATGGCAGCTGCTAATATTCAGAAAAAGAGTTGCATAGTTTTGAAAAATTTCTTATTTGTAAATGAAACACATGTATCAGCTTCATACTAGCCAAGGCCAAAAGAGTGTGAATACTCTTTTTTCTTTGAGTCTTGAGATGCATTGACGACGAGTACTAACAGCTAAGTCGAGTAGAGAACCGCAGCGTCATTTTTTCAAAACCGTTAGTACTTTTGCTTTACAATTACGTCCAATATTTTTGGATACCTCATCCCAAAACGATCCACCGCTTTACATTATAACGTTTTTCCAGTAAAAGGCTTCGGTTGAAAGGTTTGTTGGCTTTTTTCCTTCTATTTTTAAAATTTTTCCCTTCTATTCTAGCCAGTAGTGAAGGCCGAACATATGTTGCTAATGTAAACCTTCCCGATCAGCTACATTTCATTGCATCTTTCTCATTTTCGCTTTTTTATTCTTGGAACGAAGTTCTTCCTTGATAGGACTGGTAAGATTTCATTGCTATCAAGAACCCTCGCTTATTACACTTGATATGATCCCCTTGAATGCAGAAAAAAAGATCTGTATCAATGATTCCAACATCAAGGCATGCAATCTACACCTGTAGACCTCTTCCAAACCTTTTTCATGTCGAGATATTCGTGACTTTAAAATAAGATACTACGTATGAGCGAAAACAGTGCAAGTAATAGGATTTATTTGATCTCTTTCAACGAATTTTCAAAAAACAGGCACTTAATGTGGCGAGACTTTTGAAGTGGCTATTCATCCTTGAGAAATGCAAGGGAGAAGCTTGTATAGTAAATAGTAGCAACGTTTTGCTGTAAGGTTTAGCATTGTATATTTCTAGAAATACACAACCGTGATATTTGAAATGTGGAAATTTAGCATCTTCGAATGTATTCACTATTCCACAACTTGATATTGGCCAGATTTTTTTCTAGCTAGTAAATGTTTCTGATTTTATGGTGTTGTAATAAAGATCTATAATGTGCGTTAAGCTGGTGAGCACCCAGACATTTAATAGTATAGTAAAATGTGAGTGGAATTCACGTTACAATAGTATCGTTTCAACGATAGCGTTGTTTCATTGCTTAGACTGCAACTGAAAGATTAACACTTTCTTTAGGCTTCTTATAGCCCGCTTTATACAAATGCTCGCAAAAGGATAGCACGAAAGCTCTTAAAGACTGCTTTCCAAAGATGGACTTGTTGCCCAACTCACATTTTTATGCTATTTTTTGGCATCTGCAATCTTGTCTTAGCACTTCTTGTAGTGCTACAGCGGGACTTTATTCTTCGGCCGTTTTTGCATAGTCAGGTAAGTGCATCGTCAGCTTTCCATATGTCATTCGAAAACGCTTTTCTAAGGTTACAAAGAATGCGCAACGAGATCTGTGTTTTTGCGGTTTCATTTAAATCAATCAGGTTGACTGAAAATAAATTCGGTTGTTTTCAGGTATCTTTAGAAATGCTACAGATAAGTTGTAAAGATGTATGTTATCATAGAAAAGATTGAATCAAAGAGAATCGGATGGTCAACACTGCTTGCAGAGATTTTTGATGGGGAAATGGTGCAAGAAAGTAAAAAAGTCACAATTTTTTAGCGAATTTTCGAAAAATCAGGCTCTATTGAGATAAACATTTGTATTCATATATCAGACTTCCATGATTCCACACATTTGCATGGCATAGAATGGTGAAAAAGGTACTGAGCTGCCCAAAAATTGACCTCAGGGCGTAAATGCCGGAAAAATCTCACAAGGGAACGATACTCAATGTCCGTGGCCTTTTGAGACGAGATGTACACCATTACACTCGTCTTCGAACGCTGATTCCGAATCTGACTTCCGTTTCTGCTAACCGTTTCTCTGAAAGAAGTTATGGGGGAATCTCCAGCAAAGTTTGGATTCTTGGCTGTAAAAATGCGTAAATAGCAGATCACAGTCTTCATAGCACGTCTTTCTATCACAGCCAAAGTTGTATGTATTCAGTCAAATTGGTCATTATTGCTTTCACTGCAGGCTAAGTCCACAACTTAGACAAAAGAGTGATTTTTCACAAGGCTAGCCGTAAAAGGGCATAATTGTCAGTTATTGATGACGGAACTTCTGAAGATCTGATATTCGAATTTGTATGTCAAAACGAACTTATTTAATAGCCAACTTAATAATTCTAAATCTACAAATCAAGCTCAGGGCCCAGCACGAAATGGATCAAAACGAAGTACCTCGCGTCCTACAGAGAATTAGGGATACCTTTTGTAGCGTTTGTAGAAGCTCTTTATAGTATGCAACAAAAAATGGAGTGAAGTGAAGAAAATCCAAGAATAGATCAAAGACTGAAAGGGCGAAAAACGGAAAAAAGCTGTTGTCATCAAGAGCTGTAACAAAGCACTGGAGACGAAACTTGGATTAACGTGAGTACTCATAGGTAAAGCTCGATGTAAAGAATAGATTTATGTAGAAAAATATGGAAATTTATGTGGGAGAAAGGGGAGATTTGTGAAGATGTATGATTTCGTCTGGTCCCGCTACTTATATTTATAGTTATGTATACCTTACAATTGAGGTGTACAAGGAAAAAAGTAAAAAATAATGTAGTCAAAAATAACATATTATGTCAAACCAGTTAAACTCTAACAAGTCACACTGTAGAAGTAAAAGTGTATTAAATAAGAGTAATCTAGAAATAAAAATTGATGATTGATTTGAGAAACAGTGTTAGAATTCATAGTGTTTGAGGAGAGTATGATCTTCTTGAGGGTACTTTTGTACCAGTCTAAGCCATGAGTTATGCAGATAGCTTGCTATAGGGCATCTACCGTATCCAGTGGTACAGTATGTAATTTGTTATCACACATCCCCAAAAGCAAAAAGCTGGCTGGGGATGTCCATTTCGCCCGTCGCGCCTCCTTCTGGCCAAGACGTGTCCTGAGAGGCGTGGCTTCAATCCGCTCATTACAATGCCCCGTGTTTCGTTGCTCCTCGCCGGCCTTCTGCTAACTGCCAGCTCAGCCTATCTTTCCGAATCATGGATGCTCAGCTCGGAACGACCGTCCGGGCCTCGATGTGTGCCCATACCACACAATCTCACCATTTGTTACGGCATGCAGGTGTGACATTTCGCTCTGCCACCGGCAATTAGCCAATTAGCTCCTCTCGCTCAGTGCCTAATCCTTGTCACGATTATGACACCTACATGCTAGGACTAGCAGCAATCTCCCGTAGTCCAAAAATTTTGCAATTTCAGAATGGCACAGAGGTATAGGACCTGGGAAGGCACTCTAGCTTACCATGGCCAAGACGCACTCACTTACCATGTGCACCTGAGAAGGTTAAATTTACCCACCAAGCAACATCCTTTTTACCTAGCAGATCTAGACATGCTTCCTTTAAAAAAACTTCTCTCACCTCAACGGAAAAACTACTCGCAACCGTAGCTGAAATCTCGCAAAAGCGGAAAATTGCTTCCACTCGAATGACAATGACCACCCCCGCGCATCCATGCATACTTCCTTTGCATTAGAAGAATGTGCTACGGGGCAAAAATTAGCCTTTAGTCTAAATAAACAGGTTTATTTGGAGCAGTGATCACGATCTGAGTCAGCTCCTATGAATTGCTAGATTTTGATGAGATGTTAAGCGCTAGCGATTTCGTTTTCAGTACAATCAAATGCGACTTCCGAATCTTTTGGAGCACGAGACTATCAACGAAGCCATACATCAATCAAGTGATTGGAAATCATTGTTACAGCTGAACTGTCATCCCGATACGCAGGTGAGGTTTTGTGAAAAAGATTAGTCTCATCTCTTTGAACTCTTTTCGCTGCAATTCTCTTGTGAACTCTTTTCTGAGCTCTAATGCATTTTCCATCAAATCCTTTCCTTCCATTTGCAAAAAATGAAAGATAATGAGTCAAATTTCGCAAGATTCTATAAACCTTACTTTACGCTAAATATTTTGCTTGGTATTGAAGTTGCCCAGAGTTGCCCTACCCACCCTACGAGGCTCAAAATGTAGCAGTCTATTCATGTAAAAGTTCATATGAACTTTCACTTCACCTGCTGAAGTTGTACTAATATGAGAACCTCCCAGTGCTGCCTATTATTCACGACGATTTGCAAAAAATTCCATTGTTCTGGGAGTGTTTGCCTTGATTTTAGCTTCACTCGAAAAAATAACTTTTGCTACAGTAAAAAAGAGTTATTCAGTATGATTCGAATTGTGCTTTGACAGCTCTTATTTTTTAAATCTGTGGTTCTTTGAGTATTGAACCATAACAAACAATACAGATAAATAAGCGCCAACATGCGAAAAATAATGCTTTTTCACTTTTCTCCAATGACATGTGTTGAGGAAGCATGTACGATTATTGATATCTAGATGGACTAGATGATAGCGCTACAGAAAAACTAAAATTCACATTTTCAAATCCCCTCGAAAAATAGTTATTGTCACGATGAAATCCAATGACAAAGTCTCATAGAAAAATTGGAACATTTTCAAAAACCCTCCAAAAGAATTATTGTCACGATGAATTTCAATAGCAAAGTCTTACAGAAAAATTGGAGTGCATATTTTGAAAAACCCTCTGAAAAACAATTATTGTCACGATGAATTCCAATGACAAAGTCTATGTCGTTCATTTAACTACTAATGTCTTAATTTACGAATTACATTTTTCCAGCTTTTTCTATGCTCCCTATTTGCCCCCATATGTCTCCCAACCATGGACAAGGAGATCCTGCCCTGTCGATCACTTTGCGAAGCTGTAAAGCAGGTAGGGCTCATTTCTGTCTTTCTCTCTCTCTCCACGTTTGGCAACCAGCCAAGCTCCCACATGAATTAGGGCTGCGAGGGACGAATGTCCGTGTACGGTTTCCCATGGCCGGAAATGCTGTCATGCGATAAATATCCCGAGGACAACGACATGTGCATCAAGGCGATGAGCACCGAGAAACAAGGCAAGTTGGCACGCCCCCAGCACGGTCAGTCCCTCCTCTCTCTAGCTAATTCTCTCCCATGCTAACATTCAAAATTTGTCGAACCAAAACCTACCGTACCCACCCCCTGTAGATTTTAGCAGTGCTGTGTACGAGTTGCACCTTGCACGGTTCGGTTTCTAGAGGTCGAAAGTTAGCGTAGTAGATTTGCGAAGTTCTGCTTCGCTTGCATGTTCTGGTGTCAGCTGGCACTTGTATAATCTTCACGGATGTAGCGCGTCTGGCGGCTATGTTTATACAGACACCCAGTTTTTGAACTTACGAATAAATAATCAACTCACAATAAATTGACGCTCGAGGTCATTCCAGCTTACTACACCCTGAACAGCTAAAGATTTTCCGCTAACGAGATTTTTTGCAAGATTTTTTGCATGTTTTCATTTTCGCTAGACCGAAAATACTATTAGTGTTCTAAGCAAATAGGGACAAAAATATTGTGGAAAAATTCACCGTTTATGGATTAGGATTTTAAGATGGACTCCCGTACATTATTCACAAGTTATCCAAATACTAGATTTCTCAAAAGAATTTGAGTTTTCAGTACATCAACTGCTACTTTGACTTACATTAGGTTTCCCATGCATTCCCCAGACTACCTACGGCTTTTTCTGTAATGGTTCATTTCACAAAAATCACGATACTTTATCTGTTATTCATTTTATCCAACCTGCAAACTAAACGGACAAGAAAGAAACTGCTTTAGCTATTGAATAGTAGATGGCATCATTTAAATTTTTCTGAAGCGGTAGAGTTTAGGATCAACGCAGCCGCCGCGTGTGAATTTTTAGAAGTTTTTGTATTCACTGACTTGACTGAAATCTTTTTTTTTTCGAATGACCACCAACTTCTACGTAAAATGCCTACTAGTTGTTCCTAGTTAGAAAAGAAGTTTCAATCGTTCCTGTTGCGAAAATGGTCGAGTAAATCGCAGAAGATTGTTGGCTCAGAAAACAACAAATCTAATGAATAAGAAATTTTGTGTATTTTGCATAAACACGACAGGTCAAAATAAGAGCCCCTCCTGAAGGCGATTTTCCAGCATTGGTGCCCGCTACGGGGCGGGCGCCCGTCCGGCGGGAGCGCTGGTCTCTGCGCCGCGCGGTACGGTGCGGGGCGCACGTGGGGATGCGCATGCGCAGAAAAAGGTGGTGATTGATAACTCGTCAAGTTCACTACGGATGGACGATCGCCTCGGGCAACGGAAAATAGAGCGGTGGAGTGTGGCCGGGGCGGCTCGGCTTTGAAGTGGTCGCGGGCGGCACCCTTTCATCCGGCGCTGCCATCCGCAATCCGCACAATCAGAGTCGTCGAGTCGGCGAGACGAGAGTGAGGAGCTGTCTCCAGTTACAAATCGGCCGCTTTCTCGCTCAAAGACGCTGCTTTCGATTTGAGCAATGAGGTGTCGTTCTCTTAACACTTGCACGGCTATCTGCGATTGTACGTGCTGAAATAACTCGTGCCGCTGAGACTGTGCAGGGATCCCGAGAGGGATCAGCTGGATTGAGTCATTTGGGAACTGTGGAAGTGCCAGTCAAAGATTACCGTTCAACATAAGTTACAGTACACTAGAAGGAACTCTATAGTTCGTCTAAAACATCGAAACGAGTTAAACTGATCCCACTGAGGTGCATAATTGCTACCCTGAATAGGGCGCCGATTATGTATCACCGAATAATTCACTTAGTGATCCACTGATTTGATTTTCGGCGTCCAGCTGATAAAAAGATCTCATCAGCTTCCACACTTTACGTTATCTGGAACTAACATCCATTGGTAGTCACAGCAACCGTTTTTCCTTCCTTATAAGGTGATCGAGTCAAGGGAGAGGTGTCGCTTAGTATATGTTTGACCCGTTTGTTTGTTTTATGTATATATACCAAATATGGAAATTGACGAAATGTTTTTGAAGTCAAACGATGAACTACTTGTAAATGCTTCGACCATATGAAACGCATATGCAGTGAACTAATTTTGGCATTCAGTGTCTGAAAGGGATCTTACACGATGATTGAAAAAAATGAAAAAGAACGACAGCTTTGGGATGATTTGTTTATAGCAAGAAATGCAGGAAATGGGAAAAAATAGTTGCGCTGGAAGAGAAGAAGAGAGGTGGACAGGGTTGAGAAGGGCGAAGGGACCATGGAATAGAAGTCGATTTGAGGTAGAAAAGACTAGGCACTCTTAATGCGAAGATATTTTCGCGCAACTATGGCCTACAATATACATAGATGGCAGTGGCGTACCGACTCATTCTTGGGGGGAGGGGGGGGCGCCCCCCCCCCCCCTCCCCCCAAGGATGAGTCGCGAAATTTTTGAATGTTACTTACATGGGTTATAAAAATGCGCAAATGACTTGTTTACACTTGTAAATAATTAAAATAGTTTTTAGAATTTTTTAAAAATTCATTTTAGCCTTTAAAAAAATTTTTTGGGGGCGTGGCTGACGCCACGCCCCCTTTTTCTGAAATTTCGGGGTTCTGAGCCCGCGAAAATTTTCGGGTTTTTCCGATGAGAGTGCGTGGCTGACGCCACGCACCTTCATCGGAAAAAATTTTTTGTCGCGCCCCCCCCCCCGCACCCCGAGCCGAAATCCTGGGTACGCCACTGATAGATGGTAATTAGTAATGGACAGAATTTTTTCTCAAATGCGAACAGTGGGAGGGTGAGTACTTTAACAGGGAAAAAAACTCGAAAATTCTTGAGACCGTTGTTTTCGGTTTAGTAAGAGTCTTAGTTGTGTATGAAGCAAAACTCTGGTTGCATTCACTTAGCTTGGTTTCAAATTTCTTCGCAAAATTTTGATTTTTGCTTCTTGTCCATATTTTCATTAAGATTTGTAAGTACTGAACATACAACCCCCGAGAGACATTAGTAGTGCCCTGATCAAGAATATAGCTTTTATTTATATTTCACTAAATTCTTGACTATCTGAGTAAATTGTTCTATGAGATGTGTTCAGGCGCAAAATTGCAACAACTTGCTTATAAAATGACTAATGCAAATTGGCTTTCTTCATAAGCATTAACTGAGTTTTTGCGAAGTAAGCTAGAAATAAATGAAACTTTTGGAGCTTATCCACGAGTTTTTTTTCCTTTTTTGCTTATGAAAATCCTAGCAAAAACTACCTAGCGAGGACATAAGAATTTTATCGCCAGGTCTTCTCCCTAAACTATACTTCTTTTTGGGAAGAATGCTGAATGCTTTAGCTATAATTTAGAAATCCTGATCAATGATCTTCAATAACTAATCAGAAGCGCATTATGCATTACTTGGAATCCAAAATGACTTTCGCATTAAGTCAGCATTGAAAATTTTGAAGGAGTTGACAAAAAACTTCTAAGATCAGCTAATGTTCAGTCAAGAAGCGGCTTTTCAAAAAATACCCCACTCAGTCCGAGAAAACGTCCTATATTATCATTAGTTTCACTATAACCACTATTTACAAAAAGTATGAGCGGCCTCTTTGAAGTTGATTGATTGGAAAACTGCGTGGGAAAAGAAGCGGAAACAACAGTTGCTTTGACATATATTCTCAGCTGTAGAATCAACATTTTTCACATCCTGTTTAGCATTACCGTTTTTCTGTACATAACAGAAACAAGCAGTTGATCCAATGAATCACAGAACCAATCAAACAAGTACGTGTGAGTTTTCATGATATTTTTGCATAGTCTCGAGAATATTCGCACTCCACACAACAATTCGCAAAATAAAGTCCGATGCCAATGACGATGTTCTTGCACAATGTATCATGCCAGTAATCCCCTCGTTAAGTAAATTAGAGTAAGGTGCCAACAGTAAAATGAGTGTATTTTCACAAAAAATAGACGCATGTTCTATTTCTTATACGTTATACATAGGCGTTTAAAGTTTCTGTCTACCTCTAAACGCAGCCCATTCACTGCCTTTCACAAGCCTAGGAACAGAGGATACATCAAAGGCAGCCAAGGGCACGCGTCGCGCTCGAGTCACGTTAGTGTCAGTAGCCTACTTGAGTGAATTTGAAAGGGGATAACGGAGCGTTCATGTTTGCCGAAAGCATTCGTATGAGGGGGTGCGGGGGGCAAAAACTTTATAGTAGTCCTTGCATAGACACTTGCAGTTTTAGATTTGAACGAGCAGCAGTGGTTGTTGTAGATAACGGCACCCTCAATCCTGCCATAGGCGATACCGTGCTCTACCGCGAACGGCTGCTACACATCAAATTCGAGATCTTGGTGCTCACGTGGAATGAGGACGACTACAAACACCGTTCACTGTCCACTTTCCACGCACAAGCATTGTCGGCAGTGCAAGAATAATATACCATCACTTCTCCAGCTCATTAAGCTATATCCACTCTAACAAATACAAAACGCGACCTACTTGGAATTCTTGGGAACCCTCACTCAACATAACAAATGGGAAACATCAATTAGAAGTAGCTGTTCAAGTATGCAGCATCCGTCTTGTTTAATGCAGTGGATGAAGTCTGCATCTACGCACATTTCTGCTTAAATTACTAGAGTATAGATAGCTACATGCAACATTTTGTTTGATAGTTCATCGATTGAGTTTCTGCCGCTCCTTGTCAATCATTCGACGGATGTCTCCAATTTCAGCTCGGGATATCAGCTGCCCAGCGTGCAGTCAGGTGGGAACATACGAGAATCTTGTGGACCATTTCTGCCGCAGTCAACTAGGTCAGAGCAATCCCGACGTCGTGAAAATAATACTACGCCACAATTTGCTTTCAGTTGTGAAGGCAAGAATAAACGCTGTAACGCCAACCCACATCAGTCTACGAAATGCCAGAAGTCTCAAGAAGGGTGACCGACGGAGGACGGTGGAAGACATGGGTAAGGCACAGATAGTGCTCATAAACATTTTGCTAAGAAGGGGTCTAGAAGTTTTTACAGATGTTCGGCTAAACGCTGACTCGTCACCTTGCCCATGTAACATCACAAGCACGTCTGACCGAAGATTTTTGGTGATGGCATCAAAAAGCAATGATGGCTTGCTAGCAGCTAATCTCATTCTTCCTTGGAAGAAGGAAAAGGTAAGTGGTATCAAGTTCTGGCTTTATGCGGTTTTAGTAAGGGGAAAATTCCTTTCCCCCCCCCCCCCCCCCAAATTCGAGAAGTGAGCAGGTCGATCGCACAGTGTGCCCTCTTTTTCGAGAAAATGGCCCTCAAACTTGTGCGCGAAAGCCTAGTTTCCGCGAGCTAGGACGAGTTTACGATTTCCCTCCAACGTCAAAGGTAATCCTATAGGTAGGTGTAAGTGCCAGATTTATCCGGTTCAACCGGTTCATCCAATTCACTCATTCGCTATTGGTCAAATCACTGAACTGGCCAACAGCGAATGGGGTCAATCGGATGAACCGACTAAACCAGATAAGCCTGACATCTACCATAAGGGCAACGAAGCTACGCCAACTTTGGAGAGAACTTCCCTTGTCCGAGTTCAACACGAGGAGCATAACAGAATGCTCGTTTTCGCTAATTCTGAGGTTTTCTCTGAGTTGGGTTTTCGGGATCAGTGCATTAGGTCACCGAGGTAAGCGAATTTTATAAGTTAAATCTCGAAGCCACCACTCCGAGATTTACTTATAAAATTCTATGTGGTAGCCGGGAGGGTTCAGTAAGTGATAGAAATGGAGGAGTCCCTTACCAGAATATTATATGTTACGAATTTGACAGATTCTAATGAAACTTAGATCTTCAGAGTTTCAAACGGGCAATTCATCAATTCCAACGGTTGAACTGCAAGTCGCTCGGACGGGAAATTCGCGAAAGCGCTTCTCGACGGCCACACTACTACACGATGAGGAGGCACAACCAACGGATTCTCTGAATGCGCCCTTCAGTCGTTCACAACCCCGGCCAAACTGTGCTGTCCTTCGTACATTCTCCGTCCGTACAATCTCGCATCTCAATCTCTGCCCGAAACAGGGTTGTGTAGATCTTATTGTCATTGTTAATAATTGAGACGTTGCTAGAACCAATGTCGAACATACCGAGCTTGCCTATGTCGGGGTACTTTGATATGATTAAATTTTTACTTTGCCAAACATGACGCTTTTAGTAAATGAAACTGAGGAGATACGCCCAACAGTGTAAACAACACAAATCATTTCACAGCCAATCACGGTGTGCTGTTAAACTTCACCAACTTTACAATTATACCTACAACTTCAGCAATTAACAAAATACTTTGAGTTTTCAATAAGGTATGCTCAAAAGCACAACATCTGTAACATAACAAACAAAAAAAATGTTAGGATAAGATCAAATGAGGAAGAGATGAGTAAATTACAACAAAAAGTCTCAGACACCATCTAATCGATGTCGTTTCGGCTGAGAGTAGTACCCTACCGGGTAGCGAGCAGCAGCAGCAGCCGCTGGAGCTACAATAGGTTGGGCAAGCACCGGCTTTTGATCCTGAAGCCATCGCACTTGTGTGGCAGGTCCATAACCCTAAACATATGTCCTCAGAGAAAACTGTAAAGAACGTACTACATGGTTGTTAGCATCCGAAGATGGATTTCAGAAAACTGAATCAAAAACCAAGACTGAAACCCATAAATTTGACAGTGGAACCATTGTAAATCAATTTCAAAGAGTATGCATGTAAATCAGTCGAAAAAATCAGTGTACAGACCTTATACTGTATATTACAAAGTTTTTAAGAATTCCTCTTTTCGCACCTGTTTTGTTATGTCAAACGGATTCTTTAGCTGAAAGTGAAAAGCAAGTAACGCAAAAAAGAGCATGTGCTGCAAGATGAGTAGTTCTCGAAGAGTGTACATTCTTGCAGCAAAAGAAGTCTGCATTCAAAAGTGAAGCAGCATACAAAAAAGCGAAGGATTTGCAAAGATACATAGTTGTTCAATAAAAGAAATGGAATATGATTAGGTAAGATGGAGCACAATGTTACCTTCTCATTTCTGGCTGCAATCCTGAAGATTATGGCTGGTTTCGTGGACTGATCTACATAGGCAGCGGCAAGATTCGTTTGATTCACGATACATTCCGGTTCGACACCCACGTACACCCTGAATGAGAAAATGAGTTCAGCGAACAGAAGTAATACGAAGGTTTACGCACCTCATGAAAGCGAGCTGGTTGTCGGTAGCTCCGGAATTATTACGCACAGCCAAGTAGACACTGTACTCAGAGATACGTCCTGAAAACGTCCATTCTCGACTGTGAACTCCAGAAAGCCCAGAAACACCAAAGATCTTCCCATGTTTACCTGCAACATTCTGCGGAGGCTCCCATGTGAGCTGAGCACCCTCCTGTCCTTTGGTGATCTTAATAGACGAAGGCGCTCCAGGGAAACCAGGGAGGCAAGTCTGGGAAAAGCAAATTTAGAAGTCTGGACATGCAAGATAAATTGAAAGAACAAATACCTTGAAAGCGGAAACCTCGCTCCATGGGCCGCGTCCTATTGAATTTATACCCGCAACGCGAAACCGATAAGCAGTCCCGGGTTCTAGTTCTGCCTTTCGCAAAAAGTTCACTTGACCAGCATGCATGCCAACATCAAAATCATTCTGAAATTACCATCCACCAGAGCAACATAAAAATAGAAAGAAAATAGAAAGCATAGAAAATTACCATTGCCTAATGACTGAACTCACCCCATATGTGCTTTCCAATGATTGATCTCCATGCAGAAAGTAATGGGTAACAACACACGACGTTCCTTTGATTATTCCCACATCGAACCAGATTTCTTCATCAAGAGGTGTCTTTACAGTTTGCGGTACATGCCCAGGATGAGCCATCAATGGTTCAGATGGATCGCGTTGGGGTCGAGGTGTAAAATTTTGTTCCACAGAAGGCGGTGGTTGTGCGCTCACTTGTGGAGGTTGCGGTTCTGTCTGCTCTTGATGAGGAGCTTCCAATGTTGGAGCCGGTGCTGGCTGAACTCCATTGGGCGGGTCAGCCGGCAATGACTGCTGCAAAAGACAATCGAAACCAATTTATAATCTATATAGTATAACACACCTAATGCAAAAAAACCGTGGGCGTAAACAAAACAAAAATGAAATCTGGACTCGGGTCTCGTTTAGACAGATGCGTAAGCTTCACTTATAGAAGCACAAAGCAATACTGATCGGAAAAATAGAAAATGTTGCGCTGTTGAGTCAACTAATCACACTATATAGAAAACTGCAAAGAACCTTTAATATGCAATTCGCTGCTCTCCCTTACATTTCAAAGTGCCTTCGTACCGCGCCGGCACTGCCGCTAGCTGCCTTTGAGTGCTACTCCATTATCCGTATCCCAATATCAAAACCACAAATCTGCTTAAACTTGGTTTGGTGGGGTTGTTCGGCGTGTTTATCAAAAATAGCATAATTCAACTTTTTGAAAAGGCCTTGGAATACTGTAAGAGTGCGCAAAAGCGGCTACAGGCGGCTAGGGGCGGCTGCCTGCGCAGTATGAAGACCCACTGACTGTTTCTGCGTCCCAACTGCCTATCTTTAAGGGCAGAAGTCTTTTACTGAGATATGATTATAATGCTCTGATAGGTCATATGCAAGAGCTGTAAACTTTACTGTCTAAGCCAAAAAAATTATCACGATCATCAACAACAAAAAAACTCCAATATGAGGGCTTCAGTTTACTTGGACTATGTAATCGTACGCGCGAAGATGAATAAGTGCAACAATATATACCTGGTCATGATTGTGTGCTTGAGAAGTGCCAGGTTGATCGTCTGGTAGCTTAGCGGATTGTGGATCACTGACACCAGCAGATGTGTCACCCTAAAAATTGACCAAAAACTTGAAGTGAAGTAGAAATAGCCTTACTTGATGGTGTTGAGGTTCTTGGACTTCATCGTTATTCGCTTGTGAGGTACTTTCACTGTCTGCAGCCTTCTGCGTTGGATCTGACGGTACCATAGAGTGACTCTCAGATGAAGTCGACGGCTGAGAGGATGACTGTGGGTCTTGAGGTGCTTCCTAAATTCGGAAATACAGCTAGCATTAGAAAAGCAGACAGCGTTAAACCTGCGACTCTGGCCTCTCCGGATGCTCGGCTAAGTGCGGCGCGTCAGACTGTGTAGAAGCAGCCGAAGTGGAGGTTTGAGAGTTCTCGCTTTCTGCACCTCTTTGCTTTGGTGGCGATGGCGGAGACTGCTCATCAGCAGGCAATTCGTCGAAAAGGTTTTGTGGAAGAGTAGCCTAAAAACGAGCATCATCAGTAACATTCTATGAAAAAACAAACAAAAAAAGCTTTGCGCACTTCATCATTTTGACGCGAATTAGATGGTGCTGTATACGTGGTACCCTGTGTAGATATACTGGGCTGCTGATGAGGTGCGAGTGGTAGCGCGCCCTGTTGATCTACTCCACCAGGTATAGCAACTCCCGTCCTTGAAAGCATCACCCCAGCTGGAGCAACCGGAACTCCACTTGGCACGTACATTACCCTTGACATACATGTTACACAAAGAAAGCTCTATAGCTATAGTTGACATACTTTTGTTGAGTGCCACCCTTTGACAAAAAGATGGCCTTCGCGCCAGGGCCTGGTTTCACGACGGCTGGCAGAGCTGCACCACCAGCAACGTTCGAAACTGGTCTCACAACTCGCAAGATTTGCTGACCAGGTCCAGTTCCTCGCACCACCTTGACTTTTAACTATTAGGTTAGAAGTGGAACCAACGAATGGAATTGTAAATTATAAGATCCTGCAACTAGTAAATTACCTTCATAATGCTGCCTGCCGCAGGTCCCCTTTGCATCAACATCTTTTGAGCTGGTGATGATGGAGGTTTACCAAGTGAACCCAGCTGTCTCGAAGCTGTAATAATGCATCGGAATATCAGACACTAGTCGAGAATTTGAAACTGGAACAGAGTCTAGGTTGCCTAAGTTACGTTCTATGGAAAAAAGTTTATGTACAAACTAGATATTATACTTGACACAAGGATCAGAAATAGGTACAAAGATAGCTTACCTTCTTCATCAATGATCTTGTGGGTAGCGATACTAGCATCATACTTATGCAGTTGAAGAAGATATGCCTCGGCAGTTGGAAGCGAACCCCACGAAACCTAAAAGGTGAAATGTCATGCCAATAGAGTGGATATGACGTGAGAATGTGCACAGTTACATTCTAGCTACTTAGTGTTAGGTTGATTCATAATTAATGCACGTTTTCCACACTTCATCTTTCAACTAACGAGGGAAGGATACTTGGTGACCGTGGCCTTTTGCAATAAGATGTATACCAGTAGGTGCGTCTTGGAACGCTGATTCTAAATCTATGTTCACTATCTGCTGTGCGACTCCCTGAACCAAGTTATGGACTTTTTTCCATTTTGATTTTGCAAGATTTAGGCAGTCAAAGTCGTCAGTATCCGGGCTTTTTGGACTTTAATGTACTGGTGACAGTTTTCCCGAACTTAACGTGAAGCTTTACTTTATCTGTACGCTTTTTTGTAGTGCGTAAGCGAACATTCTAACGATATTGGTAAATCCTGCATCAAAAACAGTGCGAATTTCGGTGACAAAAAATGTCCATAACTTCTTTCGGAAAAGCGCACAGCAGATAATGAAAACAGATTTGGAATCAGCACTTCAAAATCCATTCAGTGGCGTACGTTTCATTTCGAAAGGCCACGGTCATTAAGTATCATTTCCTTGTAAGATAATTCTTTTTTTGTAGAAATATTTCTGGGCGCAATAAAAACTACTGTAGCCATCAAATCAGTGGCTAGAAACCAGATACCTTTGCGTGATTGTGTCTATCACAAAAAAGTTTTTCTGGCCTGAAGATTGCCAACAACTTTTTTCAGAAGCCGCTACTTTGACAGAGCATAATTTATGTTTAAAAGAAGTAGAATAAAACAGACTTTGCCCATCGTGTAGCCCATGGTCTCTTGAGCAGTAATGCCAAACTTGGATTTTAGGGAAAATTTTCGAAAGAAAATATCTCAAAAAAGTCGAAAGTACTCACTTTTTTCTGGCAGCTCGACGGTTTCAAAAATCAGCCATTCTTGAAATTATTTCATTTATCTACGCTGAAATATGAGAAAACCCTGGCGCTTTTCTACCATCAAATGAAATAGGTCTACGCTGGATAGTGCAAAAGACCTGCAATCGCCTTTTGCTTCAAAGTTTTATATGGCACGGAAGAGCCACGACGATTATTCAAGTTCGCAATTGAATGTCTCGGCTCAGGATTCATGGAAAATCTTGTTCAAATAGCATCTTGTAGCACAAAGTTTCCTAATCCTTATGCATATTTTTTAAAATTAATCCGGCTATTCTTCATGGAGTTAGGGCAGAAAGAGTGAAAAGCAAAAATTTTGGGACTTAATATCCTTTATTTGAAGGCTCAAAACTTTGGAATGAACGGAGTTATACGAAAGCAAAAGCCCATATAAGAAACTGAAAAAAAAACGCTCTTTTAGATAGCGTAAAAAGTTCTTGAGGGAATTGATTACATTCAAATACTAGCTCTCGGAAGAAGAGGTGAGAAAAACGTGCATTAATTATGGATCAACCTAATATATACGACAAAAATATATAAACCCCACTTCAAGTCCAGCAACGCTTGCTCTGACAAGCTGAACACGAGAAGGTGTTCCCGGAACGGCCGTCTCCAAGTACCACATGTCTTTGCAACAAACCTGTAAAAAATAAAGTTTACACTAATAAAAGACGAAAACTACGCGTAAACATACTTGGTTATTCCATGCCTTTCGGTAGCCATCCCTTCCAGACCAGATATATATTCGATTATTGATAACAACAGAACAATGACCTGCTCTAGCACGTGGCACGTTTTCTACTAAATGATTGGTAAGAAACAGAACCAAACAAATCTATAGACTATACCATCGAAAACATGCGAAACGCTTTCCCAAACCATTGTGTCGAGATTTAAACACGCCAAATCGTTGGTACACTTCCATTCCTTCACCTCAGCATCGTTCCCATCTTCAACCATTGGTACCTAAATGGACATACTGAACTGACAGCCCACGTGACATCAAGCACATACCCAACCACCGTAGATATACATCCTATGTCCAATTAGATTAGCAGTATGAAGAGATCGTGGAAGAGGAGTCACCCCTCCAGTCTGAACATATAATCAATCAGACCATACCAACAACTCCTCGCTTACAACTCTGACTGTGCAAAAAATAAAAGATAAAGATGATAATAATGATAATAAAAGACAGATTTCATACGGTCCATACCATCTCAAGCGTCTTTCTTGTCAAGAAGATGCAAGAAAGACGCTTGAGATGGTATGGACACGTGAGTCGACGAGATGAAGACCACATAGCCAGGTTGGCCATGATAGTGAACGTACCAGGAAAGAGGCCAAAAGGAAGACCCAAGATGCGATGGCTAGACAAAGTCAAAGCAGACATGAGAGAACTTGAGATAAATGAACAGCAAGCCTTGAACCGAGAAGAATGGAGAGAACTTACGAGAGCAGCAGACCCCGAATAACGGGAAGAATGCAAGGATAAAAAAAAGATTTCATATGGTTCCCCAAAACAAAAACCGCCTCAAAAAAATTCAACAAACCACAGGGTTATCCCATGTCATGGTATCAAGATGTAATATCCATAAGTCATTCAAGCGGCATCCGTTCATTCCACCATATATTATCAGCTGACGTCCACTGGTTGACTCAAGTACAACCGCAGAGTGAGATTCACGAGGTGGAGGATGTGGCCCGTAAGTCTGAGGAAGCAGCTATATGTAAGAGAACAATGTACTTCTGCAAATTACCACAGGGAGCTCCCACTGCAGTGATCCGACCGGGCCTCGGATATCAAGTGTGAACAAGTCATCCAGATAAACAGGATTGTTTTGCTTAGGGTCCGGAGACTGGTTCGCAAGACCACCGAATAGATAGCAGATCTGAACATGCATAACTTTATGCACAGCATACAGAGGGTGTAAATCATTATATACCTGATTGCTCGCAAGCGAAAATGAATGGCCCAAACGTGGACATGGACCTGCGCCACCACTCCGTGGAGGACGAGGACGTAACTTCCTCCATTCCCAGCGAGAAGCTTGCAGCTCATACAGATCATTGGTGTACCTAGATTTGCCGAAGAATACTCAACAGAGCTTACACCACAGATGTATGAGACCAGCGTAGAAGCCTCTTGATTCTGTCACAGCGGATATTAACGAAATTGTGAAACAGATCATGAGCAAGACTATCAAAAAATTCACGTGATGATCTGCAAGTTCTAAGATATAAGGAAAATGTTAGTGCATGATGCAGAAGACTAAATCTCTGAAGTAACTGATATGATGGCATGAGCTATTCTCAAAGTCAGTACTGCTGCAGCTTCCTCTTCTACGATGTTTGTACAGTGAGGATAATGTGGTAACACAGAGTTGAAAAAAAAAATTGAAGTCAGACACTACAGTGATGACATAATCATGAGATCGACTCAAGATTTTGAAAAACTGAACTCACGAACATAAGAAATGTAAGCTTACCTCCCATACTCTACCATACCCCCAAACATGTAGATATGGGTACTGCTGCAAACGATACCGTATGCTGCACATCCACTCGGAATTTCGCCGCGAACAGAAGGAATGAACCACTGCTTGGTTGCTGCAAATAGCTAGAATTCAGCTAGGTGAGACATAAAACGACAGCTAACTACCAACTTGTGTTGTACACATGAAGCTCATCGACGATACCCTCATTACCGCCACCAAACACTATCATAAGATCCTTGATGGCAACAGCCCGATGTCCATGACGTGGTCTAAATTGATTACCATTTAGAGTAAACTAGCTGGCTTGCCCGGCTCCGCCGGGCCTGCCAGCTAGACCCGTGTACGTATGTTCCGAATAGAAATTTTTATCTCTGAACCGATTGGGACCGAACTTTGCACACATACACTTCGGGGCAGGGAGCGTGTCACAGCCCACTTTTCGTTATCGATCGATGTCGATTTTACCGATTTTTTGCAAAATTTGAGCTAGGGGGCTAGGATTTTGCACAGGGGGGTAATCGAGCATGCTGATCACCCCTTCGGGGTGATCAGCATGCTCGATTACCCCCCTCTGCCAAATCCCAGCCCTCTAGCTCGAATTTTGCAAAAAATCAATAAAATCGATATCGATCGATAACGAAAAGTAGCCTATGACACGCTCCCTGCCCTGAAGTATATGTGTGCCAAGTTTGGTCCCGATCGGTTCAGAAATAAAAATTTGTATTCGGAACATACGTACATACATACAGACAGACAGACATACAGACAGACAAACAGACATTCAGCTTTATATATAAGATGTCAGTATTACACACTTACAATTACCCTAATTTCACGCGTACAAAGCGCGGGGGATTTTTTTTCCAAAATTGACTGGCCCAAATACGCTAAAGAAATTTGCAACTAAAGGACCCTATGCCGTGTATATTGCTTCGAAGAATCGCACGGCATAGAAATCGCTTTCCGAAATACTTTGGGGGACTGAGGGGTTGAAAAATCGAAAAAGGTGCACCTTGTACGCGTGAAATTAGGGACAACAACACACAAACCTCGGTGAGGGTCCTGAAGAATTGACAACCTTTTTCCATTTCACAGGAGGACCAAGAACTACTTTCTTTTCTTCTTGCATCTGTGAATCCGGGACCTAGACAAAAGCACTCTACCATGACGTACAAGTGGAATGAATTATGAAACTCATTTGAAATACAAACTATATAAGATTGTAGAAACGAAGCATAAGTTCCAAAAAATCAAAAGAATCCTAGTTCGAGAAAACTGAAAGAAATATGTGCAGAGCTTAATGCTCTTGTTTTGACGAGATACGATCTAGTGCAAACATATGATAAAAGAAATCACTCCCTTGCTCGTAGGATGCATTCAGCATTATGATAAATGAAACCGTAGTAAGTGATGTACAGCGAATGAAAAAAGACGCTAGTAAAAAAATGTACCTCTTCGTACTGCACCTCCTGTCCTGGAGCGTGGGCAATCATTTGGACCAGTCGACCGTCCTCCATACGGATTAGCTGAGGCTCTTGACCATATATTTGCACGGCGCCACCATGTTGATAAACGACATCTCCATTTTCATCCACACCCACACTACTTGCGTACTGCTGCTGTTCAGGCGGCTCTGCACCGCTCATGCCTCTGAAGCATTTCACTCGAAGCCGACACAGATGTTCATTGAAACAACATCAATATGGCGACAACATTACGCGACTGCAATTCGTTATGCATAATAGGGTATTACAAGTATGATCGAGCGACACGCCCACGAAATGAGCCATTGCACTTTGCATACAGCGGAGATTTTTTATGGATAAGAATTGGCTCTGTAAACAATGTGCGCAAAACAGAGGTGAATCTTACAAGATTGTGCAATCAATCCAAGTTGCCTTTTCATCGTTGCTTCTCGCTTTTCGACACTAGTGAATGATATGCTGCGGATTATTTACGTAAATTCAAATGCAGTACCAAACAGAACGAAAAATATAGCCGCCGACCAAGCGCGAATAACTGCGCGGTCAAAGTCAAAGATTGAAGTGATCTGAAATGAACGAGGCTAAAGCTTATCATAACCGCCAGACAGATCGCTACAACCCTCACCTCAGACATTCATGGTTGTAATTATGTGAGCCTCTGTCAATATAAGCGCCTTATAATCAGTGGAGGATTACATGTAAGATTTTCAAAATTTTAAAAGATTCATCGCCAAAATCGCATGGAATAAGACGCAGTAACACCATTTATGAGCAGTCATAAGAACTAAGATATCAGAAGAAGACAGCGGCGGTCTCAGGATTCCACTTCGACGGAAAGGGGGGGGGGGGGAGAATTTTTTTCGAGAAGGTGCGTAGCGTGTAATACTCCAAGAAATTTTCTTGAGATGCTTTCCAAAATCTTTGCGGGCTATTCCCCGAATTTTTAGAAAGAGGGGGCATGGCTGTAGCCACGCCCCAAACTTTTTAACAAGGCTAACTTGAGTTTTTGTTATCTAATCAGTGTTGAGTTAAGAATGAATCAAAACTCAGGTGTGAAGGAGAGGTTTGATTGTGTAATGTCAGAAAAAGTAAAGGGCTTAACTTTCCGGCTTTTGGGGAAGGCACTGATCCCGAAACGTTAGGCCGAATGAAGCATGTATATCAACTATTTTGGCAAAAAACAGATACTTGACTTGCATTTTTGACAATAACTCGACTGATTCTCGGAATCAAAACTACACTGTATGTAAGTTCAGTCAGCTCGCTCGCCAACACTTGAAATTTTATGGTCCAATTCAGAATAATTTCTGGCGGTGGAGCTAGAGATTGGAGTGAGGGACATATGATCATATGTGATTCAATTCGAATCATTTTGCGGAGGGATGTTACATACAAATATGGGCGTTCCCTCAAAAAATCACAAAAATGCAGCGCTAAAAATTCTTAAATGGGCCGGTGGAAGGTTAGGATAACTGTACCACAGCGCATTATGATGATTTCATGTAGCTCACGTGGCCACGTTTCGCAACAGTCAAGTTCAAAGGCAAGATATGTACTTGCAATTTCACAAAACGCAAGAGAAGAGCAAGAAGTTGGTAAAATAGATTAAGTGACTCACACGCTAAGTTTTCATAAAATTTAGAATTGCATCACTCGAAATACCCACTAATACACAGATGGTACATGAGAGCAGCACTATGTTTCAATCGATGACTTGTCTTCTAATATAATCGATAGTCCGAATGCTGACAACCAGGGTTTGGGACACCGATTTGACTCACCTGTCAGGTATACACAACGCAAAAACTACAACAACATATACTGCTAAGAAGATAGGCTGGTAATTTTCCTTTTATTTATGGGAGTGTCAGATCAAAGGTTCGAAAATGAAAAGATGGAAAATCGAGCGAAGAAAAAAATGAGTGAGATCTGTTTCTGCTATTTAATGCTATTTAATACGAATGAATTCTGAACACATGGGGGGGGGGCTTTCAATGCATTCCGAAGCTCTCTCAGAAATGAAAATTGGTGTGAGTAAACAAAGACAACTTTGTCGGAAGTGTTCGAGCGTAATCCTCGTATCCCAGAAGAGGAGAAATAAGAGAATGGCAGTTGTGGACACCCGCTGTAAGTAACACATGCAAATGCCCTTTAGTCAGCTTTTACAAACACAGGGTAGATAAGTCTAATTAACGTGTTTCACAAGGAAAGGAAAATTCCCCAAAAATCGCACTTCTACTGCAATTACGATAGAGTGAAAAATAAAAAGTATAGGAAGCTTGAAAAATGCCAAATTTAAACATATGAACATGCCGTATAAAGAACACTGTGCTTCAAATGAACGAAAATATGAGACATGAGCAAATGTCCGAACAAAAGACATATATTAATCCTGACATGACAGCTTAGAGCAAACTATATAAAGCGAAGCGAAAAGATGCTGTATCGACCCGAAAGACACAAATCAATTTAAAAGCGCAGCAAACACTTCAGTCTCAATCAGCTCTGTATCTTGGATTGCTAGATTTTTTCCTCTCATAAATTCAATCGAAATCACGGAAAATAACGTATTATAGAGAAAACCGGAAAGAAAAACTCTAAATAAGAGAGTCAGACAAGCTGAAAATTCTATCGACGCTGTCGACTTTCGCGTGCTGTCATGCACATCTAAAGATCGCTCCGCCCCTTTGGCATTGTTCCAGTCATTGTGGTGGTCGTTTCTTGTGAGGCTAGGGCAGTTGAATCCATTTTAACTGGTCACGATGAAGCTGACACCGGGCAGCGTCCAGCATTTTGTATGTGCGAAGAAGTTTAGCGAGAATACGATGAGGGTACGTGATTTTTGTGAAGAATATGGACTTATTTCCCTTTCTGGAAGAGAAATTCGTTAGAAGACCTATTGTTGGTCGTAGATTTGAGCTGTTACTTTATACTGCTTCTCCTGTTGTTTGAAAGACGTCCTAGAAGCGTTGGGCACCTTGTCAGGTGGAAATACCATCTGAAATCACCTTCGTATTTTTATTAAAGCGAGATCTTGATGTGTACAGGCATGAACACAAGAATTTAATTGAACTGTGATGCTGGATCTTGGAGGTTATGATGCAGAGTTTGAACTCAAAATTTTTTCCTGAGTGTCACGTTAGTCAGTCGGGGGTAGAAGAGAGACTAAGGTCATTTTCAAATTTCAGATAAACAGTATCGACTATTCGGCGGATGGGCTAACAATGATAACCTCAAGCGACGATGACTCTATTTTTATCTACAGCATGCAGACAGGAACTCGCACCCGAAATGTATGTTGAAAGTCTTCTTGCATTGTTATACTTCATTATACTATGGTTCTTATTCAATCCAAAAATTTAACCTTTATCAGTACTTTCTTCGGTCCAATTTTTTTTATTCTACAATATATTTGCGTACAAGTCGTCGTTCACATCTAAACCTCGCATGCTTGGTAAATTTTGAAGTAATTCATATGCAATTCCAACATTGAGTCCAGTGTGCACATAAATACATTAGTGTTCAGACAACTACTGAAATTCCATGCTTCTTTTTGTACCCCGATAGAATTGCAAGTGGCCTAGAGTTAAGAAATCGTTTTGAGATGGTCAAGTTATCTGTGACAGAAGAGAATAATAGTAATAACCTATTGCCTGCATGCCATTGTAAAGGTTATCGCGCTTCAGTGGCCTCTCAGGCCCTCATGCAAGTATTTACGCCTTCGCAGGTGATGAGGTTTTCAGAGCAAGGTCCACATGCTCATGAGTTGAAGCTACATTTCCGATCTATCTATCATTAACTCTATCTATCACCTTTCATCGATTCGTAGCTAACCGAAGGATCGTACAAGTTGCATTTCTCAATGATTTGTTTATTGCTGTCTGAAATCATCGAGAGTTCGTCGCTTTTTTTGTCATTGTATTCTTGCAAAGTTGTGATATGCGAGTTTGAAACGACCCAATCAACAGTGCTAAGCTGACCCGGTAACTAAGTATTGATCTAATGGACTTTCGGTGCAGTTTCATCCGCAAGCAATTTCATCGACAATGATTGTCTCGAGTTCCTATGATAACGAAGAAAATTGTCCCTTACCTTACCATTGTATAGATTTAGCACATTGCGATGTTTTCTTTGAAGTCGTATAAGGACAAATAATATTGAAGAAATGGCAGAGAGTTCCTGGAGATTTCCTGGGCCCTCACAAATTCATCTCTAGCTATATTTTTAAGCTCAACTGCTTATGATGCAAGGTATCAGAGTCATCTGAAGAGGGTAAGCAATAGAAAATGCAGACCATCAAGTTAACAAGTTATGAAGTTCCCGCGACCTCCATTCCTCGGCGGGCAGTAGGTTTGTACGGGACTCAGATCTTTTATCCTGTATTCTTTGTAAAGGTCATATCTGATTGATGCATCTTTTGCAAATTTGGATCGTTCCAAGTTTCAGTGATCGGACGGTAGAATTATAACTGCTAGCGCTTAGTTGAGTGAACTGTAGTTCAGAAGTCTGCATTGCAGGTCAACAGTAAAAAGTATGGTGTCGATCTCATCCGATTCTCCCACAACACAAGTAATGCAATTCACTGCTCAACCAAAGTTGACGGTTAGTTCATTGCATTGGTCTTTTTTGTTATTTTCTATCCGTCTTTACTCGAAATCCTTTGTAAATTCGCAAAAAGTATTGCTGCAAGTTCAATTCTGTTGTGAGCTGCTTGATGGCAGACCCGTTTCCTTACTCTGCCGAATAACCGTCTCTTGCTTCATATGCACAACTCCTCATGTTTTTTCCTTTCCTGATCCCCTGACGTGTTTTCGCCTTACAAAGGAAGAAATTCAGAAATGTGACTTTTCCGCTCTAATTTTACAAGGCAAGTTGAATAAAACAGCTTGTAGGCCGTAGCGCTTAGGATGTAGTGGAGTAAAGCAGAAGTTAGCAAGAATGTATACATGACTCACAAATTCAAAATATGAAATAAATAGCTTATCAAATTGCTTGCTCAGTCTCCATGCAATACTGCAATGTAGCGACCATCATTTGTCTTTCACCTTAGTCTAGCCAAGACTATTTCAGTTAAGCATTCAGTCCCTTCATATATCCATTCCCATGTCTTGAGCGGCGCTCGAGTCTTGCATTCATACTGGTTTGTATTTCAGACACCATTCGATATCTGTCTCTTCATGACAATAAATATATCCGCTATTTTCCTGGTCATACCAAGAAGTATGCTTTTCATTTTATTCCCCGACATCAATCAGCGCAAGTAAAGTTGCTGCTTTTTAGAGTAATGTGCTTGAGCATGAATCCCACTGATGACACCTTCCTTTCTGGATCTTTGGATAAGACCATCCGTCTGTGGGATTTGCGATCGCAAAATTGCCAAGTATGTTTGCAGTCTTCTTGATGAATTTCGCCGTTGTCATATCTTCTAGGGATTGATGCAAGTGAACGGAAAAGCCATCGCGGCGTTCGATCCAGAAGGCTTGATTTTTGCGGCAGGCATCAACAACGAACAAGTGAAACTTTATGATCTAAGATCTTTCGATAAGGTTTGCGCGGTTGTTTTATATCAGCTGTGATTTCATTTCCTATAATTTCCAGGGTCCATTTACCACATTCAAGCTAGAGGCGGAACGTTCTTGTGAATGGTCAGGCATGACTTTCTCACCTTGTGGCAAGTACATAATGATCAATACGAATGGGACAGTCATCAGGTTGGGCAATGTTCAAATTTTTTTCACAGCATCACCTTTAGTGGAGTATTTCCTCATAAGTAGCTTCATTTCCGCAGAGGTGTTACTTTTGAATGTATGGGAGAGTTTTCGCTTTTGCGATTGCATTTGGTGCTAGTCTCTTCCCGATCTACTTTTTTTGAATTGCGCGAGTATATTGCAAGCTCGATCAGTTGTAGCTGACGATGAGATCTGCTCTTCTTAGATACATCCTAGTCAACCTTTTTTTGCCAAATTTTTTTACTTCGCGATTTTTTCGAATTTTTCTTTGTATCACCATGGAATGACAGTGTTTTTCTGAAATGTCGCTCATGTCTTCGTCGCTCAAGAATATTTTTTGAAAAAAAAATGGTTTGTACGATCCCCGTATGATGGTAATCCGCAGCTGTAAAAGGGCCAGAGGAAACCTAAACCAGCATCTTTGTTGACTTCAAGTTGGCAGTTCAGGTTAATTGATGCATTCACTGGCGCATTGAAGACAACATTTGAAGGGCATAGAAATGACCAGGTATGACTATAGCTTGTTTTTATTCAGCAAGTTGACGCTTGAATTTACTATATTTCAGCAAGAGGCACTTGAAGCTTCTTTTTCACCAGATTCGCAGTTCGTATTCTGTGGATCCTCCGATCGTTGTATTCACGCCTGGTGTACAGAAACTGGTGAGCAAGACGCTCTAGTACTTTTTTCGATTAAACAAAATAAACCACAGGTAAACGGGTAGCCACGTTTGAAACTGAACACGACAACCATCTCCGGATTGTTTCTTGGAATCCGAAACACTTCATGGTGGCATCTGCTTGCACCAAACTGGTATGTTTTCCCTACTGAATGCGCCGTGCCAGTTTGCTCTGCGCGAACTGTTAGTTGATTTGACTGTTTCAGTGTTTCTGGATTCCTGGTGATGATGTGGTCGAAAACTGATTGATGACTGCACGAATATACACATTCAGCCTATTTAATCATGGAGGCCTGCTAGAAGTATGGCAGGCAGAGAAGATACTCATTGTATGGAACAAAGTTTTGTTTTGTCATATATATGTTGTGCAAGTTATGATAAAATTGCGAATTCACTAAATTGAATAACTTTTTTTTGATACGTTTGTTTGTATAGTCCTGGCATAAGACACGTTTATGGGGGTGGGAAGCACCTTGATGCAATCAGTGTGCAGATCTGTTAGTGACGTAAGATTTGATATCTGATAGCTTGGTATGGAAGAAAGGGTCTTCTGCTCATCTTTGACTTGTATAGACCATCATTAATGCCTCCATATTGTAAGGAATAGTTTATTGGGCTACCCAATACGAATCACAACTCCGTCTTTGTCGTGCGCAACCTAAATTGCTTTTTCTACCGGCGAGTACTGTATCATCACTTTTTCAAAGTTTAATCTGTTTTTAGATAACACTACCTTTCATCTATCCTCATTATTTCTATCTCGTTGCTGTCGTGTTTATAAACTTGCTGATGTTGGTTGGGCATCTGATTGAATTGGGCGGAAACAAATATGAATTCATTAAAAGTAAATGGAGGAAATATGATAATTAACTCCTCCAGTAAGACGAAATAGAGATTTCCGTTTTGAAACATCAAAGTGTTATTTAAATTTCCGTTTTGAATACCATGTGTTGTGCGAATCTTGGAATCTACGAGAAAAAAAGAGGTTTTGCAAGGCAATTGTGGTGCTAATGTAAGAGCATTAGCTTACTGCGTCTAGTACATTTATCCATTGTGCAAGTGATAAGCATCGTTTGGCTTTACTTTATCTGAAACCTATGTGCTGTACCTTGGAGGAAGTGTGCTTTTCCTGCAAAGAAATTGAAGTCGCTAAACTACAAATTTTGCAGTTTCATGCGGCAGTGATAGAAAGTATGGTTCCGACATATTCTTGTAATTATATTTTATCGCTCTGGTTGCGTTTGATAGAACAATTAATGAAAAAAGATTAGAGCACATAGCATGCAAACTAATTTTGATTGGTGTAGCAGAATTAGCAGCTTGCATGATAGAACTCCAGATGCATGTGGCAACCTTTGAAGCTGAAAAAATGTCAAGTTCAGATTACAGAATCGAATCAAAATAATACCTCAAAAATCACATGCTGTTTCTAGAATTAACCAAACGTTTCCACTCAGGAATCACACATAGCTCAGGTGTCGGGATATCATTTCACCATATCTTATGCCTCGTCATGCTTCCACTGTTTACTGGACACGCCACCCCGCCTACGACACAGTTGCTGTTGTACGAGTATAAAAGACAGCATGAATAACTCTTACACACACTCCCTCTCCTGGCTGGTCATCCTCATACCAGTCTACCCTTCCCCCCTTTTCCTCTCCTTTTATGTAACTTATATAATAAACTAATTTATAATTACTTATGTCTTGGACACAGTACAATAACACCGCTACACCATCAGGCAAAGGTCTGTGCACCCCTTTAACCTGATAACATCCTGTTAGTCGCCCTGAAAGTTTACAGCTCCACAGCCAGAATCTGGACAGCGATAGCACAGATTCTGAAGAACTGTAAACTGTGAAACCTATCTCTCTGACTAACAGAGCAAGTAAGTTTGAATTTTTTTTTCTTTCTTCTCCATTTTTTTTTCTCATGCCGCAACCGCGCTAAAAACATACATAATTTCTTTGAATTGGCGATTCACAGAAATAAAATTTTTTTTCTATTAAGCAGCCCTAGTAAAAAAAAATTTAAAAAAAAAAAAATTTTTTTTCCGTACTATTCTACTACAAATTTCGCCCTTGCACTGATTTGGCGAAATTGTGCCATTTCAGAACAAGTCCCCCCTTTAAGAAAATAAATAAATAAATAAATAGAGAGTACTTCGTTTGTAAATTACAATCCATTATCATAAACTTGACGTTTTTTCTTTCACTACACCGAATATTGTACCAATATATTCGTCCCCCTGTGCAACACTTCAACATTTTTCGTATTTATGTAATGTTTACGATTTACTTACTAAACATGACTGTTGACTTATATTTGTACAACAATAATGCCTGTCACCTAAATCTCAACTTCCCCAACTACTGCCACTGCAATGCATGACACCATGGCCGTCACTTCGACAATATTACCGACGACGTCAACGCCATTCTACACTCTCTCATCGCTCGAGGACGAGCTTCGTCAACCATCCGGGGTAAAGAGAAGGTCGTGACTGCTTCAACAGTTCACCTAATCTTACCTTGGTATGCCAACAAGAGCAACACTTTTTTCAATCAATCTTCAACAAGCTCGAGGACGAGCTTACCGTAGGAATGGAGATGTCGGGATATCATTTCACCATATCTTATGCCTCGTCATGCTTCCACTGTTTACTGGACACGCCACCCCGCCTACGACACAGTTGCTGTTGTACGAGTATAAAAGACAGCATGAATAACTCTTACACACACTCCCTCTCCTGGCTGGTCATCCTCATACCAGTCTACCCTTCCCCCCTTTTCCTCTCCTTTTATGTAACTTATATAATAAACTAATTTATAATTACTTATGTCTTGGACACAGTACAATAACACCGCTACACCATCAGGCAAAGGTCTGTGCACCCCTTTAACCTGATACAGGTAAGCAGAACCAGGTAAGCAAAAGGAAGCCACATACTTAGGAATGTAACATCGTATTCAACCTAAATCACGATGGTCGTCTCTGTGATTGGCTGAGATACTGTACATTCTGGTATGCTCCTCGCTATCTGGAAGTTCCAGCACTTATTTGAGAGGATCTTGCTGGAATGTTTGGCGGTACCAGCACATTTCGATTTTAAACTTAGAAAAGCCTTTTTAATTTAGTAGGTTGGCACATAAGATTTGCAACTTCTTCCGTAACTTTTCTCTTCTGAAACTAGAACTCTCATTTTTTGGCGTTACTTAGGATATGTTGCAAGCTATACGATTGCGCAAACTGTTTGATTTTTGATAAGATAATACGACAAATCTAAGCATTTTTCAAAAACCGTCATAAATCGAGTTTTACAGTTTTTAAGCAAAAATAAGTCTTGCAAAGCCTACATCAAACCAATCCGCCGAATTAGGCAGCATGTTGCTAAAGGTTGGCTCAATAAATTTACTAGAAAAAGTATTAAAATTCAGGACAAATCAAGATCTGGCACTTTTGTGAAGTTAAACAAGACGGATGCGTCAAATCTGGAGGGCATTTGTCGATAACTAAGCTGCGAAACCCCATTCGCCGATTCGCAAAATAGGAAAATTCGGCGTGGACATGTTGATTTTTCGCTAAGGTAAACATGTAGGTAGACATTATACTTGGGTACGAATCGAACAGAAATTCGATCATTCGAATAAAACATTCGAATATATTCGTATTCGAAATTCGATATTCGGAGTTCTTCCATTTTCGAATAATATTCGAAACTCGAATAATTGAGAGAACAGGGTTTCGAATAAAATTCGAAAACTAGAATAATCAAAAAACGAGGTTTCGAATATTATTCGAAAACTAGAATAATCAAAAAACGGGGTTTCGAATAGATTTTATTCGAATGTTTTATTCGAATGTTTATTCGAATTCGTATTCGAATGTACCCCGTATTCAGATTATTCGACTTTGTGCAGACCCAAATGCTGAGTATCAAGCTCACTCCGTCCGCGTTTTTTTCGCAAAACTCGGTAATGCATCTTTTGCAACCGGTATACCTTTGAACTGTATGGAGAGTCGCATTCTTCCGACTGCTTGCAACAGTAAAAAATCATATGTGGATTTTAATTGATGTTTTTTCGATCAATGAGATTGTTCGCACTGCTATTGGCACCAAATCAGCAAAGAAGATATCAAATTCAAGCTCATGTTCTGAGTTCATACCGAATTGAAATGGCTGTTCTTCTTTCTCTGCATTGCTCATGCTTGCGGTACGCAAAGCCCACACCAGTGAGCACTCTTGCTCGCATAAATTATTGCAAAACTGCCTATTCATTACCTTGGAGTTTTTTGCAAATTGGTGTATATTGAATAAAGGACATCGCAGTTGTAGTGCAGGATTAGACGGTTTAGATCGCCGTACGCGATTTGCCAGTTACGAGATGTCTTCAGATGTAATGGCAGCTTACCACAAATGTTTAGCGTGTACAACATACTAAAAAGATAAATGCACTGCATTCTGTACTTTCAGAATAGGTTTTGGACAATTTGAGTATTGCCATACCACGTCGCCACTGAAATACTTGCAGTATGCCCGGGGTTATAGGGGCATTCGTGCTCGCTTCGCGGAGGAAACCACATGCCTTCGTCCACGACTAGCTTATACCACACAAGACGAAAGTCTCCGATGAACAGGCAATGTATCGTAGCATTTGTGGAATTTGAGTACATATGTGGCCACCTTGTTGCTTCAAAAGATCGCACACCTAGCGCTATGAATCCGAACAGCTCGTTAAGTGCTTACACCAAGTTGCAATGTTTCTCATTTTTAGATTTTAGCTCCAGCCAATTTTATCTTTACTCTGCTAAGCGTCTTTGAAATCTAGTGGAAGTCTGACAAATAAGGTCTGCTGTCGAACAAAGCCGCAGGATCAAAGTGTACAGATGCGGTTCTTACCCGTACGGCGCACAACGCCAAAGGATCACGAATTGCAGCCGCTTACACGACGCTCGCGACCGCTTGAAGATGGCTGGTGCACTTCGTCCGGCAATAGACTTCTGGCTATAAGTTTCAGAAAATCCCATATGAAACGAAATAGATGTTTGATCTCGAAGTTTATTGTCACGAATGTGCTCAATGGTCACAAGGATTGAATCTAGTAATGAAATTTGAGCAAAGAGATAGATAAACTGATGATAAGATAGCGGCCACACTCGTACATTATCAGAGCCTCATTTTTATACAGATCAGTAAATTTCTCGATTAATATAGTGTTCGGACCATATGAAGAAGAATCTTTTGGGCACAGCATAAAAATTTATATCGACTGCTTTTTTATATCGTCCAATAATGGGTAAAATATGACTTTTTGCTGATGTATAGACTGGTTGCCGACCGACTTTATCGATTTTTGGAAAATCTTGAGCTACGGGGTTGGGAGTTGGTACA